TGCTGCCTCGTGGTGTCTGGTATCATCATTCAGCTTCCCAATTAGACTCTAAGCTCCTGGAGGGCCGGGACCTGTGTGGCCTCCACCCATGTAGACACACAGCCCCACACAGTGTCTGCTCAGTAGATGCCTGTTGGGCCAATAGGGCTCAGGCAGTAAACACCAGATCACTCATTCTTCCTAGCAATGCTTCTGGGTGGTCTGATCCCCTTGTAGAAGTGCGCTGTCAGGAAACCACACTTTCTTATGAAAGCAAACCTTCCAGGCGTGAGTGGACAGGAACTCCAAGAGCACACCCATGGTCCCTGGAGGTATCCAGGTCAGCTATGACTCCCTCTCCCCTGGGGTTCTCAATGAGCCCTTAGCTACACCCTGAAGTCCCCCCAATCTTAGAAACCCCCTCACCACACACAGCCATGCCAGATCAGAATGTTCAACAAGAGTTGTAGCAAAGGTTACAGGCTGACAAAAAGCGGCCATGCCAGGGCCGGCCAAGTGGCTCAGTTGGTTAAGAACTTGCTCAAGAGTGCGAGCACTGAACAACAGGGTTACCGGTTTGATTCCCACCCGAGCTGAGCTGCCACTGAGCTGCCAACAGGTGGCAGGATGGCTCAGCTAAAATTAAAAAAAAAAGCGGCCATGCCAGATCTCACAAGAGCAGAGCACTGTCAGGTCTCCAACTTCCAGGAAGGCCAGGAGGGAGGGGCTTTCCTGATGGAAGCATCCGAACCCCCATTACAACCTTTGGCTGCCTGGGCTCAGCACTGCGCTGTTTCCTTCCCTTCCAGTTCAGAGTGCCACTATATTTCTGGCCATCCTGGAGTTTCTCCACAGACCAGCCACAAAGGGCCTGGTCTTACCTCCTGCAGCTGCTCAGCCCCACACCTAGGTGGTGGCTGATTTGCCAGACTGACCCCCCCCCCCGCACTCCACTGTGTCAAATGCATTACTAACCTGCGTACAGGCCTGGCTGGCCATCCAGAACGCATCAGCACTGGCCTTCAGACTCCAGAAGGCTGCTCTGGTGACTCTGCAGGCCCTGCATTTGGCAGACTATCCCTGGAGGGCCCACCTCAGAGCCACCTGAAGCTCCTTTGACATTCTCCAGCTATGTGCCCTGAGTGATTCACCTCCAGAGGAACCCTCACTCTGACTACAGGGCATGCTGTCACTCTCCCAAGCCAATAGTAAAAGCACAAGCCTACCCTCCCCACAGCCCGACAGCCACACCACAAGCATCAGCTGCTATAGTAACAGGAAGGGTCATTCCATCACAGACACCAGTACACCAGCTTTGGGAAACCGACTGTCTACACGTAAACTGAACCGGCCTACCCCACCATGGAAAGCTTAGTAGGCCCATTCTCCAGCCCCCAAATTCCTTTGCATTTACCTGTGACTGACTGTATAATCTTGGGGCTATTATCTTTCTTTTACAGTTTCATTTCCTAATCTGATAGCTCCAGAAAGCTTAAAAATGTACTGTTTGCTTAGATCCCACATGGCTCTCATGAAGCAGAAGAGGGAGACAAGAATAAGTAATTGCCTGATTGCAGGACAATTAGTGCTCACCTGTTACACATTCTCCCAAGGTGATAATGGTGATTTATGAGGACAGCCTGATTGGGAAGAGTTGAGCATTAGGTAATTCTCCAGTGACAGTATTCCACACCCAAGGAGGAACGCATGCTGCCCTGGGTTGAAGTGACAATTCACTTCACGGTCCCACATAAATCAGCAGTCACCAATCCAGCCCTGACAGCAGGCCGTGGTCAGTACCTCCAGCTCAGCAGGAAGCCATCTCTGGTTTTGTACCCTGGCTCATGTTAGCCATGGGACCTGGGCCTCAGTGATACCGAGTTCCCTCACTTGTATTCAGAAATAAGTGGAGGACATGGGCTTTTTGCAGGGTTATAAATGACAAACACCACTCCTCCTGCCAGAAGTGGGACTCAGCTGGTCTTGAGTACCTGGCACTAAGTGGGTGCTCAGTAAATGTTTCTTGAATACATAAATGACGAGACAGAATTTGGACTAACATATGTAGTCAGTAGTTAGGAGACTCAAGCTTGGGGTTGAAAGAATAGAGTCTCGTGTGTTCTTGGGAAAGTTACATGGTTGGGAGAACAACCTTATCTACCTCTTAAGAGTCGGAAGGTTCAAATGTGCTCACACATATAACATGCTTGGCCCAGGACTTGGCATGTGGGAAGCTGAGTGTTCAGTGATGATGACGACTGTCACTTCAGGTGTGATCGAAGTGGTGCCCATGGTATGCCGAGGATGTGCAGGGCTAACATGCAGGGGCCTGGGATCAGTAGCAGGTCAGGCTGGACAGGCAGGTGGGCCCAGGTGCACCCAGGTGCAGGGGGCAGAGAGGAGGAAGTGAGATTTCTGTAGTCAAACATTTGAAAACCACTTAGAATAGCCTATCCCTAGCCCTCTCCAAGTTCTGTAATCTCTAGTCTCCTGGAATAGGACGGGGTTGGTGAGGGTAGGATAAGAGTGAAAAAAAAAAAGGCACTCACTCCTCCAAACCCCAGGAGGAAGGAAAAGAGATAGCCTGGCTGTAGATTTTCCTAACTGCTTAAACTGGCAAGCTTCCTTTTTTAAATCAAGAGGCTGCTCCTGGTCCAGATGCTAGAAAGCAATTTCATGGAGTGCTTAACTTTCGCAGCTCAGACTGCCCAGCTCAGGAAGACCTGGCCACGATGCTTGGTGGGGAGGGAAAAAAGGGGTGGCGCCTGGATAGCACTGCACAGCCTGCCCTGCCACCAGGTTACCTAAACATCACCCCAGCCTGCTGAGGTCTGATGAAGCAGGAGGCACAGACTTCTCTTAGTGTGGGAGTCACAGGCTAGGACACTGAGCAGGGAGTCCTGAGGCTGGGCCTGAGGCCAGCTCTGCAACAGAAAAGGGGACCATGGAGGCCACTCTCTGGGCTTTAGTACCTTCTCTAGTGAACTGAGGGGTTCATACTAGGAAAGCAGTGAGCCTGGGAAGTCCCCAGCTGATGAACACTCAAACCCTGGGGGTAGGGATCTGATATTTATTGCACTCCTAAAAATTGAGCCCTTCACACAATTGATCCTCCAGTCAGACATCATAGTCCCTGTTTTATAGGGATATCAGGTGCAAAGCCCTTAGCAAGATTTTACAGATGAAGAAACAGGTTCAGAGAGCTGAGGAGTCGGCCAAGATCACAAGGCAAAGAGCTGTGGGGATGCAGACTCGGGTCCATCTAAATCCAAAGCCAGGCACTCTTCCCTACAGTCAGTCAGTTCAGCAGCCTCCCTCCTCCACTGTTTACGTGTGCAGCTTCCGCTTCAGTCATTTGCTTTCACTTTTTAATTACCTGAAGCCCTGCCCAATACTCGAGTAAGTCCAAAGAGGGAAGAGCCATGGGGCAAGGACAAGAAGCACGAAGGGAAAAGGATTCACCAGCTCGACATCCCAGCGTGACCAGGCCAGGTCCTGGGGAGTTCAGCAGGCTTGGGACTGGCTGTCAAACCCCCTTGTTCCCTGATGGCTCCCAGTATCACCCCATGCCAGCTCTCGGCCTTCCTCCCAGGTTGCCTGGCTGAGGCCACCTGTACACCATTCAAGGCCTCCTTCAGGAAATCTTCTCTACCCCAGTGACGTCCCCTGCCCCACTAAGTCCACTCATCTATCAGATACTGATTAGGCACCTGCTCCGTGACAGCCCCTCTGCAGGCCACTGTGGATAGAGATGGACATAGAGATGAGTAAGACAGGTCCCAGGCCTCCAGGTACTCCTAGCTGGATGCCAGGCGATGGGCGGTGTCACTCTGTGGGTGAGACCTTGGGCATCTCTATTTTTAAATGAAGCAGCACATCCAAGTGAGGCCCTTTGGTCTTGTAGATATTCTGGTCCCCAGCACTTGAATTCTTTGGGCTGCCACCATCCTTTGAGAACTTGACCTCTTTCCCACTAGTAGGCTCCTCTGGGTTCCCAAGTCAGATAAAACTACAGATCTTCTGCGACTTGCTACCTGTATACCTTTGCAAAATGCCCGTGTTATCTGAGGCTCAGTTTCTCCATCTTTAGATAATAACGGTGTCTTTCTGTCCTGAGGATTAATTGGAATACTGTGTGCAAAGCAAGTTGCCTGGCACAGATAAATAAATGTGTCCGCTTTATATCATCACTGCACTCTGATCGACAGAAGATCGACAGAAATACTTCCCTTGGGTTATTTCTAGAACCCCATTTCTCAAGCCTGTCTCAGAGGCGGCCCTGTACACCTGGGAGGCCTCTTGGTGCCCTCTGCCAGTGCTCAAGCGGGAAATGCCTTCATTTTCCTCGCGGATTCCGCTTCCTAGCTCCCCAACTACCTATTAGCTTAGCGTACCCTTCCCTTTACTCAGGGCGACCAAAGTTCCAACCACACCTCTTTGGGCAGCCTGCCCCAAATTTCGGGTAAATACGCAGAAGTAAGTTTGCCAGGAAAGAGCTCCGCGGGGCAGAGGCCCGCACAGCCTCTTCCCTACCAAGGTCGGGCGACCCCGCCCCCGCCGGGCCGGAGCTGCGAAGGGGCTGGGGCTGGGAGGCTCGGCGAGGATGACCCAGCCCACTGCTCCCCGCCCTCCCAGGGACGGGCGGGCCGGAGTTGCCGGCACTGGGGACCTGTAAGCTAGGCGGGTCTGCGGGAGGGACGTTCAGGATGTATCCCGGGTTCGATGCCAGCTCCCTGCGAGTCCAGCTCGCCCCAGTCCCGCCCCCGGCGCAGGGCGCACCCGGCCCTGCCCAGCCCAACGGCGCACGCGGCGAGCGTCCCTAGAGAAAGAAGGAAGACGCGCGGAGTCGGGACCGAGGACCTGGACGCTCTGCCGCCGGGCGCACGTGGCTGGGCACCAGCAGCCGTGGTCGCCTGCAGACGTGTGGCGGCGCCTGGCTGCCGCGCGGCAATGGCACAAGAGGGCAACGGGGCAAGACGCAGCCCACTGACCCGCAGAGATCCAGGAGAGGGATCACTCACCTCTCCGGCCCGCCTCTCGGAACACCGGCGGCGGCTGAAGGTTCCGCGTCGGAGGCAGCGGCCGGCTCCGAGGCTCCACCTCCTGCCCCCGCGCCCCGCCCGCCTGCCCACGGGACCCGCCCTGCGGGGGAGGTGGCTGCCCGCCAGGCTGCTGCCGCTTATCCGGCTCCGCCACCTCCCCTCAGGAGACAATCGCAAAGCCGCAGGGTCCTCTATCCCCGCCAAAGACAGCATCAGTAACCCACGACCCTCCACCCCTGGCCCACGATTCGGAGCCAGTCCCGCAGCTTTCTGACCTGCACCCCTCGTCTCCACCCACCGTTAAAGAGTGCGGAACTCCGGGGCCGACTCTTAGGACACGGAAGGCATGGAGGCCAGGGTGACTTCTGAGACCTGCTTCCTTAATATGAGGCACATCAAGTCCATGTCCATTTTATAACCGGTGACGTTAAGTGGCAGGCACCGATGGTAAGAGGCCAAGGCGCCAGATTGGATCTGGTTTCCTTCTTTGGTGCAATGGAAGCAGGCAGCAGCGGCCCCTCAACAAGCCTGCATCCGGGCCTTTGTGGTCCTGTCACATTTCTGTCCCTTGAGGACCCTTAGGGCAGACCTTTGACCTTTCCCAATAGTCTTCAGGCTTCAAGGCTCTTGGGCCTTCAGGTGCTGCTGGGGATGCTGGAACTTGCTTCTCTGTCTAGGCTTCCTAGACTCCAAACCACCACCCTGCCTCTGAGAGATGGCCTCCAACTGCTGGCTGCCCTCACTTTCCCCTTGCTGATGGCATCACGGCATCACAGGCATCACAGCTGAAGGCAGTGAGGGGAGAATATCTTTTGGGTAGCCTCCTAGAGGTGTGTGGGTTCATTTGAAGCCCTGTCTTACCCAAGAACTCACATCACCTGCTACTAACTGACAGTTATTCCCCTCCATTTGCAGGTCAGGACATGGGGGCTCTGATGGTTAAGTTAGGCACCAATGTCACTCCAGTTTTGGTTGGCTGACTGGGGATTACTTGACCTGTGGGACTTTTTCTGGAATATTCCTGGGGGGCATATTCTACCAACCCCTGATAAACAGCTTCAAATTACTCCAGAAAGCCACACTGCATTGGAGAGATAAACCCTGACAGGGGTTATCTTAACCCTGAGGCCAGAGACAAGCGGCTATGCCTTAGTAATGGCCCCACAATTGGACCCCAAAGAGCATGGTGGGGGGTGAAGGGTAGAGTTCTGACAGCCTGGTAGTGGGAATGCTGCTGTGAGGGGCCTCTCCTCCACGCCCCCACCAAGACCCACCCATGAGTATCTTGTGCTTTTTCACCGCCGTGAGTTTAAATATCTGTCCAAAATATCCTTTCCCTAGCTCTCTGTTTTGCCTGGCCCCATGGCCCAGATCCTCTCCTGCTTTCTTTAGAGACCCTCCTTCCCCAGGGCAATACCCTCTCTGAGCTCCTGTGGCAGTTCTAAGTCTTCTATCCATTCAACACTCAGGGAACTCCACCAAGCCGCACAATGTTCCGAGATCTGGAGACACTGTTGTCCATTGCCTGGCCCCTGCCCTTGGACAATGAGTTTCCTTTGCAGTGAGTTGTAAGCTTTAGGAAGACAGGAACCAGTTCCTCATCCCCTTTGGTGCACCTAACATAGTACCCTGCATGTAGTAGGTGCTCCCCAAATAGGTGCTCTGGCTGATGGGGATCTCTGAGCATCCTCCTGCAACTACAATGGGCAGCGCAAGGAGATTCAGCTTGGGAAATGGAGATGCTAACAGGTCTTGCAACATTCTTGGGAGGATCCTTGGAGCTATCCAGCATTCTTTCAAAGAGACCAGGTGGATATTATTGTGGGGTTCCCCATGAGCTGGAGAGATCTGAGGGTTGGACTGGCAGAGGTCTGTGGTCGAAAAAGGGGTTCTACAGAAGGTAACCTCATAGGGTGATCTGATCATAAATTCCTAACTGGGCAGGTCATGGTGAGTAGCCACACCCCAGGCATATAACTTTAGTAAAAGGTTTATCTTTGCCTTAAGCAGACCTGTCCTTTGTTCTTGTGCATGTAAGTTAACACGCCTTTGAAATAAACTACCCTCAAGAGAGCACAGAATCTTGTTAACTATCCTGTAACCCAATCCCTGTCTTCCTCTCTCCTACCTCCGGGTAATCTTCCTTACATCCCCTCCTTAATTCCAAATGCATAAAAGAAACTGCAAACTGTCCTTCTCCAAAGTGTTTGAGCTCTTGCTCCCCAGCATATATTGTCAGTTTGGGCTCAAATAAACTCTTATAGAAATTCTCTACGTGTTTGGACGTTCCTTACATTGACAGGTCTACAGAGAAATGTCCTAAGAGGAGCATGAATTTCTGCAGGGGAACATGGAGGGGCCTGAAAAGTATGGGAAGTAGGTAGGTGGACAACGTGCTGAACCCCAAGCACCTTGATGGACAGAGCACCACCATGCTATTGGCCTTTGGTACTTTGCTCATCTGTCTCCCTCTGGACTGGGAGTGCCTTGAGTGGAAGCTTGTTTCAACTGGCATGGGGTCTGGTGTGGGTGAGAGCTCAATAAATGTTTCCTCAATACCTTTGGGTCTAAACTCCCAGAAGCAGATGAGCCCTCTGACTCAGGAGGGAGAGCAGTGTTGGTTGAACACCTCCTTTGTGCTAGACTCATGTCTGTGGCCAGGCCAAGAACAGAGCAGTCAGAGCCATGTTTTCATGACATTAGGCAGATTGTGTTATTCCTCCATTCAAAACCCTCCCTTGGTCTACCTGGTCTCTCAAAGTCAAAGAAAGTCCTTGCAATGGCTGACAAGGCCCAGTGTGATCTGCCTGCTCTCCCACCTCATCTCTCATTAGGGCTCTGCTCTCTGCTCACTCACTGCTGCCATGTTGGCCTCTCCCTTTTCCTCATTCCCTCTGCTGGACCTTAGGCATTCCCAGAGCCCTCCCCGCCGCTCTCCTTTAGGTCCTTGCTGAAATACCGTCATCTCCATGAAACCCACCCTGATTGTCTCCATCTCTCATCCATGTATCCTCTCCTACTTTTTTTTTGCATATCTTTTATGTCCTAACACACTATAAAACACACTTTCTCTTGGGGATGATAAAAAGGGGTTTTATGGAAAGTAACCTCACAGGGGATCTGCTCATAAATTCCTAACTGGGCAGGTCATGGTGGGTAGTCACACCCCAGGCCTATAACTTCTTTAGTAAAAGGCTTGTGTTTGCCTCATGTAAGTCCTGTCCATTGTTTCTGTGCATCTAGGTTAATAAATCTTTGCAATAAGCTGTAACCACCCTCAAGAGAGCACATGACCTTGTTAACTATCCTGTGACTCTATCCCCACAGTTGCTTTCTCCCACTGTAATCTTCCTTACATTCCCACTTTAATTCCAAATTCATAAAAGAAGTTGCAAACTGTTATTCTTGGGAGCATTTGAGGTTTTGCTCCTGGGAATATGTCATCAGTTTGGCTCAAATCAACTCACAGAATTATCTATAAGTTTGGAGGTTTCTTATGTCGACACTCCATTTGCTGTTTATTAACTATCTTCACAGAAATGTGAGTTCCTGCAGGGCAGGGAGTTTTAGCTGTCTCACTCACTCCTTTATTTCCAGTGCCTGGCACATAGTAGGTACTCAGTAAGTAGTTAATGGGTGAATGCACTCTCATTCTCACCCCTCTTCACCTCCTTCATCATTTCTGGGGCGCTTCCCCCATGGCTCCCATCAACCTCTGGTCTCCTCTCTCACCTGCCCCAGAGCGAGCAGGCTGGTACAGTGGAGGTGCTCAGTGTACACACTGATGGATGTGTGCACCTGGACTTGCTAAATATTCTCTTTATGGAGCCCATGGCTATCAGCCTCCTGAGATGCCCTTTTTCCTGAAGACAAGGTTAGCCCTTTGGTTAACAGAACAGAAGCATCCTGGACGAGAGTCTAGAGTCATCTTCTACTTGGGTTAGAGAGGAGAGGGCCATTGTTCACTCTCAGCTTCTCAGTTTGATGCAACATTTATAGGCTGGGACAGAGCACATCCATTTGACATACAAATATTCTAATTGACTATTAAAACGAGATGGCCAGGAGGAGCCACGTGCCCCGATGTACTCTGACAGCCCTGGCTGGGAGCCAGCCCGCCGGGATCTAGTCCTGCCCAGGCTGGGCTAGCAGTCCCAGGGACAGTGCTCCTCACCTGTCCTGCCTCTCCACTCACCCAGGTGAGACTCCTCCAGACTTGGGCACAGGTAGCTGCTCCCCTATGTGAGTGAGTGAGTGGGGCTGCAATTTGTTGATATAAGAACATACAAACCTAGAGAGAATTTATATGAATTTATTTGAGCCAAGCTGATAACAATTGCCAGGAAGCAAAACCTCAACAGATTTAGAAAATGCTCTAGAGAATGGCAACTTATTTTATACATTAGAATAAAAGGAGGAGATGTAAGAAGGGTTACATGAAATCCATTGGCGGTAGATGAAGAGGAGCAGGAGAAAGCAAGCAGAGAAATCTCTGGGATTGGATAAAAAATAAAACAGAGAGACACATAACTTCTCTTACATTGGTGGGTACAAGATAGTTAATAATTAACCTTTACAACACTTAGAGATGGTACTCAAGGAACAAGATAACATGAGGGGTCCTGTGGTCTCCTGCTCTGGTGTGGTGGGTGTGCCCTGAGAGGTCTGAAAAAGGAGATGAGTAACATTCCAAGGGTATGTTATCTTAGATGCAAAAAGACAATAGACAGGCTCATTCTGGTAAAGATTGACCTTTGTCCTACAGACCCAGCACATGACTACCCACTGTGACTTGCTTTTAGTTAGGAATTTTTATGATCAGACCATCCTAACTGGTTACTTCCAGTCTACCACGAAGTCATCCCCTGACCCCATCAGGTTTAGTGTGTGACCCCTTTTTTCATCCACAAATTCAAGGTGTGGGTTTCTGAGGGCAATTCACGTAAATGGAGGGATTGTGTCTGCCACTGTGATGACCCAATGGGTAAAGCCATGTCAGAACCACCCAGAGCTGAGGCATCTCGGATGAAGAAAATGGTCTGTGAGGGAGGGGCACT